AGTTTAAGATGTTAGGGGGATGAATCGTTACGACTCACCTAACTAAGTTTAAGTTTAAGAAAAGCCTTGGTGGCTTCTCATACGTATGAGTTGGCAACCGGACTAGCTAGTGAGGGATCCCCGTGTCAGTCAAGTATTTAAGTTAAGATTTGAGCTTTAAAAGAGGAGAGTAACTTCAACTCCCTCAAAGTATAAGAGTTAAGATTTTAAGATTGGAAATACAAACAACTTCCACTAGTTAAGTGTTTAAGTAAAGTACTCAAATATTAGAAGTATTAAAAACGTAAGGGCGTAGACTGAGCCCAACTCACTCACCAGGCCTTAGTAAGGGAATGAGCGAGAACCAGATTGGTAGCAACTAGCTAGAGGAGCAGTTAGAGAGCAGCGAGTTCGAGAGCAACCAGCTAGAGGAGGCCAGTGCAAGCGTCACGGAGGATGCCTAGTTAAGATTTTCAGTAGCAGCAACAACAGAGACTACCTAGTTATTTAATTTTATGATTATGAGTATAGACTGGAGAACAAATTCAGATTTAAAGTTTTAGTTTAATTTGCCCACGTGTTAGGGCTTTGCTCTGAACTACAAGTGTGTGTTTTCGGTATTTTATTTATGAAAAATTTTCCCGCTGCAATTTAAGATTTGAGCATTTTATTTATCAAGGGAATTTTAGTAAAAGTAGTACCCGGCCGGGTTAGGGTGTTTCATTTTGGTATCAGAGCTGGTCTTCCTCTGTTCCTTGGTCTCCAAGGAATACTGGAATATCGGTCTCATTTTTAAATGTTTTTGTTTTTAAAGGAAAGTAAAACGAGTCAAGGATCTTCTTTTAAGAGTTTATAGAATCTCCAGTCTACTCTAAACATATTAAGGTGAATAACTATGATGGCACGACACGAAGGGATGGTAGCCAGGGTGCGATTGTTTAAGAATAGGCTAGGACGCGATTTAGTTAACATGTCGTGGTTTGTAAAATGAGAGATTTAGGCATATGGTGATCGCCAGTAAGAAAGAAAGGATGAAAGAAACGTGACCAACCCAAGTAGAATCTCAAAGGCTCTCAAGACTAAGTATCTCATCGACATTATGGATAGTAGTTTTTCAATTAGTTAACCAACTACTCGGACGTTAGCAAACAGATCATCATCATCAACCTAGAGAAGGAAGGAAGAACGTTGCAAAGGTCTGTGGAGGTAGAATCAAATGTATAAGGACTTCAACTCCAAACACCAGCAAAGAGGATTGAAAGGGAATACCTTAAGGATTTTGAAGGAGTTGAGAGTGTAGTACGAGGATTTTACTACTAGGAAACAAGTGGATGATCTAATAAGCTAAGACAAACAAAGGGGTGAGATAGGAATCTCCAAAAAAATAAAAGAGCTACAATCACTAGATGTCAGTAGCTACAATGATGAGAGAATTTCAGGGTCCTTGACCCTAAGCAGGGGCGAGCCAAGAAAAGAAGAGGTACCACAAGAAGTCCCTCTACTAGCTTTAGTTGTCGACGGCTTGACGCTATTACAACATAGTGACAAGGAGTAGTGGAAAGCTTAGACTTTAAGGAAAGCTAGGGTAGTATAAATGAAGCAAAGGAGGAAATAAGTAGGTTACAGGGAGTATGAAAGGATGTCAAGAAGTCAACAGGTCAAGGAGGAGAGGAGGCATGGTCATTTCCATATGACGATAAAGGAAACCTTATAGACAAACTACCTCACTAGAGAAGAGGGTACATGACCCTGGGTAGTAGGCTAATATCAAGCCTTTAAAAGGAACAAGACAAGCAACGGGATAAATGATGTAGAGGGAAAGTTATGGTCTCAGTACGACCACCATTGGATGAGATGTGGAGGAAAGTGCCACCAAAGTCTAAAGCATGCCTGGTAGAAGACAGTGGGGAGTCAATACATAAGAAAAGACATGGATTGTGAGAGAGAATAACAGTTAGCTAGTAGATGGCAGTACGAATAGAGAACCACTTCTCAAAAGTGCGTGAGTTGGATACCAAGATAATACCGAGTTAGAAGGAGGATAGTAGAGACCCTACAAACTACCCAAATCACAAAAGGTCAGGAGGATGTGGGACCGTTGGAAGGGGTATGCAAGAGTTCACAATGATATGTTATGGGATTGTCCTCTCTTAAATATAGGGAACACCTAGCCTCCTAGGGTACATGAGGGGTGGCAGAACCGAGTATAGGTCTCAGAACTAAGAGCTGAGGTCTCGGAACTAGCTATAGAGTAAGTCATTAAGCCAACCGAGTATAGACAAGTAAGTGGAATGTTCAATAAATGTTCTAGTGAATGGCAGAGAGTTCGAGGAAGCACATGGAAGTTCCGATGAAGGATTAAGAATATGAGTAGGTGACTCGGGTTCAAGAAAACGCATAGTGGAGTACGACGAGGAAAAGCATTATTCAGAAGGAGGAAATCATTAAGTTACCTTACCCAAGGTGCCCCACTTTGGGTGGGAGCAGCATAGTAGGATGTCATCCATAAAAGAAGGCCAATTAAGGATAAATTAGTGATATTTAGTTGAGCCACTAAGAGCCATGACTAAGAGATTAAGGCTATGTACAAGCATCGGTCGAGACAAAAGACGTGGATGAGGTATGTTCAAGCCTACCAAGGGCAAGCCACTATTGGAAGCTTTGACCCAAAACAACAACGAGAAGATACTCAACAGAGTTTGGTGACCGAAAATAGTACAAAGTATCAGTAGAAGGGTAGTAAACGTAAAGAAGCAAGGAGAACACCATAGGACACTATAGGAAATAAAATAAAAAAGGTGTTTGTCGACCGGACAATGAATGCGTGAAGGAAGATAGTTGGGACCTGGTCAAGCACCATCGTGAGTAGAAGTCGTGGGTGTCATCTGTCAAGTCTACCTAGAGAAAGTTTCTAGTGGAAATGTTGGCTTTGAGGTATGGCGAGGAGCTACTAAACTGAGTAGATCAAAGCTAGTACCAGGCATCGATAAAGGAGTTGTGGAAGTAAGGAGGAAACCACAAGGCTATAATGAAAGTTATGGTGAAAGGGTGGTAGTTGATAAAACGACAAATTCAGGGAGAAAGATAGTTAGGAAGAGCCGGCGAAAGAATACGAAGGTCAACAAGGAGGCGTTAAGGTGATTTCCAGTAGAGAATAAGTTGGACCATAGGAAGCCCATCAAGAACTGAGAAGCTCAATGGTCAACTTTAAAGTAGAAGTGTGGTGGTCTAGAACGGTCGAAGGGAAAACCTTATTGGGCAAGGTACATAAGTGAGAAGAGAATATGGGCACCAAGATGATTACATAGAGGACGAGGGACATATGGAACTAGCGAGAAACATCGGTAAGAGGAGTCACGAGTAAAGAAGCAAGATGGATATGAGTTTAGCGAACCTGCTAGGATACCCTAAAGTGAAAGCAATACCACCTATGAGGGTGAAATGTGGCGATCTCTCGGGTGAAAATTTCTTGGATGGGGAAACTGTACGAGGAATTTCAGGCAAGGTCAAAGAACAATAGAAGAGATCGTACGAGAACTCCCAAGTCAAACGGTGTTAAGGAAGTGTTAAGTTAGGCGCCATGAGTGAAACAGTACGCAAAATGGAAGGTCATGATTCTGGAAAGAAGTTATAAAGTTGATCGCAAGCTAGAGAAAGATACAAAGGATGCCTCTAATGCATACAGGAAGTAGAAGCAGTAGTATGAGGTTCCATCACTAAGAAGCAAGTAACAAGAAGGTGACCATTCAGTTTATGGTTAATGGATAAGATGAGGCATTAAGGAAGAAAGTAAGAGATGCAAAGTTAGGAGATACAAGGACCTAGGTGATCTTATAAGATCAACCCTGGACAAGAGATGCGTTAAAAGAGTTTTTCCACCTTACTAGATGGAGGATAAGCCGCCGTCAGTGAACTTGGGGTTGGAGAGGGGCATTAACTTCTCATGTACCAAACAATGGATAGTTATCGTTCCTATATATGTACAAGGTGCAGCCGAGGTAATGTGAGGGGTTAAGAAGCTACAACAACATTGAAGTTGCAGGGAATGGAGAGAAGGATTTTAGGTCATGTCGTATAAGTTAAAGGAAATAAAAATCTGCAAAGTGAAAAGGATTACCACAAGCGATGCTTAGGGTAATCAAAGTGGACAAATTTCGAGGGCGAAATTTCTATAAGTGGGGAGGAAATGTGATACCTCGAATTCGATAGGTACAACATCAAGTACTAGGCCCAAGTTGGAATTTTTTTGAAAAGGGTAATGAGTCACTCAAACCTAGTCGATGCTAGCAAGCTAGATGAGAATATATGTTATGGTCAAGAGTACATATAAGAACTATCGTAAGCTATTCAAGACAAGGTAAGGGCACGCCATTGAAGTTCATATAGCAGGAGTGAAATCTTGAACCAAAGAAGCACGAGAATGAGGAGTATGGAAGGATGAGCTCGATCAAATTTCGGGGACGAAATTTTTATAAGGGGGGAGGAATTGTTACACCCTGCTCTTCCCAAAAGTCAAAATGATTATTATACCCCTGGGTCAAGTTCCGCCGTAATATCAATGAGGACTAAAAATGTTAATTTTTGGTTTAAGCGGTGTCAAATTTGAACATAAAATGAGGAAGTTGCAGACGTTAATTGAGTTCAGATTAAACTCACACGTAATTGTGAGATTCCCAAAATATCCTATAACTAATTAAACCCTAGACCCTCGCTGTACCCCACTCGGGCTCACCCCCAATAGTAAAACCCTCGCAGTCATTCACTTTCCCACCGGAAGCAGCTTGCTCTCGGGCTTCGGTTGCACCAAGGAAGGCCGGTCCTTCAAAGTGCTCGCTCTCTACTACGAGACCAGCCAGCTTGCTCGCAGCGGATGGGAGGTATCGACATCGGGTTCCCCGCTAATACGAGAGCAGCCTGCTTTGGCAATTGGCGGGAGCAAGCGGGGTGACCTGCTGTCTATTCGTCGAAGGCGGAGAAGCTATTCACTCTCTCTACTACGAGCAAGCAGGAGATTGTGGCGGATGGGCTTTCCCCGATTTGTCGAAGGTGAAGAAGATGCAACCGGCGAGACCTACGCTCTCTACCACGAGAGGTGCTACCTTAAGCAAGCAGGACCATTATCAGACGAGGTCGTTTGGGAAGGTGATTGCGTGCCCATTATTGGATGCCTCTCTACTACAACAGCTACCTGCTTAAGCAAGCAGGACCATTTCGGTGTGCAAGTGGGCGAGGGCGTTTATGGTGTAATTGCGTGGCCATTATCGGATGCCTCTCTACTACGTCAGCTACCTGCAGGAAGCAGGCCGTGAGCGGTTAAGCAAGCAGGAGGGATAAAGGTTAAACCCCCGTGGATTTTTTCAAATTGCAAGCAATCGTCGTTGGAGGGTGGTTAGCTCAAGCCAAGTCGACCTGACCAATAAGGTGAGTGTAAAGGGGGTAAATTCTACGCCTTACGTATTCTTTTAAGTATTATGATTTCAAGTATTTTAGCGAATTGGTTACCTTTGCTTGGTTATGTGTATGATTGATTATTTGTATTTTGCTTGAGTTATGATATGATGTGATTTTTAAAGCGTTATGTTGAGTTATTTTTAAAGTTTAAGAGGCAAGTTCTTTTTAAGAAGTAACTCACCTTCAAGAAGTTGAAGTCGTTTTAAGTGTTTTTAGTCACTAGCGCCAGTCCGTTGCCATTTGAGATTTTCAGATAGAGAAGTAGTTATGCTCTTGAGATCTTTGAGATAGAGCAGGAGTTATGCTCTTGAGACTTTTAAGATGAGCAGCAGTTATGCTCTTGAGAATCGTGGTGAAGAGCCACCACGATAAGTTTAAGATGTTAGGGGGATGAATCGTTACGACTCCCCTAACTAAGTTTAAGTTTAAGGAAAGCCTTGATGGCTTCTCATATGTATGAGGTGGCAACCGGACTAGCTAGTGAGGGATCCACGTGTCAGTCAAGTATTTAAGTCAAGATTTGAGCTTTAAAAGAGGAGAGTAACTTCAACTCCCTCAAAGTTTAAGATTTTAAGATTGGAAGTACAAACAACTTCCACCAGTTAAGTGTTTAAGCAAAGTACTCAAGTATTAGAAGTATTAAAAACGTAAGGGCGTAGACTGACCCCAACTCACTCACCAGGCCTTAGTAAGGGAATGAGCGAGAACTAGATCGGTAGCAACTAGCTAGAGGAGCAGTTAGAGAGCAGCGAGTTCGAGAGGAAAAGTTCGAGAGCAACCAGCTAGAGGATGCCAGTGCAAGCGTCACGAAGGATGCCTAGTTAAGATTTTCAGTAGCAGCAACGACAGAGACTACCTAGTTATTTACATTTTATGATTATGAGTATAGACTAGAGAACAGATTGAGATTTAAAGTTTGAGTTTAATTTGCCCACGTGTTAGGGCTTTGCTCTGAACTACAAGTGTGTGTTTTCGGTATTTTTTTTATGAAAATTTTTACCGCTGCAATTCAAGATTTGACCATTTTATTTATCAAGGGCATTTTAGTAAAAGTAGTACCCGGCCGGGTTAGGGTGTTTCACTTGGATTGGTCATTCTCAAAACTCTTCACAAGAACATAACATACCTTACAACGAAGACAATCCAAGGGGGGGGGGGGTGTATTTGTCACTCAACTTGCACGGTATTTTCGAATCAAATGTGAGGAATGCAACTGTACGATCATGCACTCTACTCAAGTATTCACCGAGGATCACTTAGCCAAAATGAAGCTTATAGCGATGACCAATGGCAGAAAGACCATCAAGGGTATAACACCTCGACCACTCGGACCTTAACTTCAAGCACCCCACCCGGCCTCTTCATTGAGCAGAATGCCACACACATCAAGCAAAAACTCCAAGCTTATTGAGGATTAAAGGGAGGTTCGTTTTCTTTTAAGGCATGAGAGGAAGTCTATATGTCATCTTTTAGGTGTGGTCCACATGATAATGAGAAAAATGCATATGGACCCCATTGAAGTTGAGCAAGATTTTCCTCTGTCACTCCCATCGAATGGCGACCATCTCGTGTCTGAAGATGACGGCCACCTTAATGGAACTTTCGAGGAGGAGTTATCCAGGGCCTAAGTTCTATCATTTCTTTTTCTTTGTCTTTCTTTATTTTAATTAAACCAATGTTTAATTATCGCTTTATTTTTCATTTTGCTTTTCGTACTTTAAATATTCTCGCACTAGCAGTGTTCGTCATGAGGGAGAGATGCTTCTTTACAAAATAATTGCAAAAGCTTGGTGCAATGTGCGTCACTGTCGAAAAAGGAGACCAATAAATGACAACTCCTAATCATAAGAAAGAATAAAGAGAACCTTAGAGAGATCATGTGCTTATTGTTGTTTGAGAAATCCCCCAGTGCACACCTTGAATGTTTGGCCTAAGGTAGTTGACTCACCACGTATACACCGCAAATTAATCCCGACTAGAGCTCAAGCATAAACTCTGGCCGGGTGCAGTATAGGGCGAGTATGTTCTATGGGAGCTCTATGCCACCTTCCAGCACTTTCAGACCCAAGCAGGCGCTCATGGCAATGCCATCAACTTCAAGCTTGGCGGGGATTCTTATTCCCTCAGCTATGATGACTTCCGCCGGGCCCTGGGGCTTCTTCCTCCATTTGCTTGCCACCTCGCCATCAAAGAAAAAGACCCTCCTATCTTTCGGGACCAGCGTTTCTTCGAGAGGATTTGCCTCCCAGAGTTCGCGGGCGCTGTGTTCACGCCGGGTTCGACCACCTCTACTCAGTTGTGCCTAGAGTGGAGCATCCTCAACCAGCTCTTAGGGAAGTCCTACGCCCCCAATGCGAGCTCATCAAGTCAGCTCAAGCTCCGCACCTTGCATTTCCTGCACGATGAGTCAGGAGGAAGACAATCTCCACTTGGACTCTGTCCTCGCCAAGACCATCACCAAGGATTCCCGCTGCGGTCATGCTCTTCCTTGTGGACCGGTGGTCACTGCCCTGGCCCGGTACTACAACATCGATGTCACCGGCTTCCCTGTGATCTAGGCCGCGACACCCTTCTCCCGGGAGACCTTACGTCGCCACCTGATATTGGAGCGCGAAGGGGAGATGACCTGGATTCGGGGACTTCCTCGCCCTTTTCCTCGTGCACCAGAGGGGGATGATCCCCCCCGAGGCGAGTGATGCCGGCACTCGACGTGGACACCGTCAGACCACCCGCCGGACCACGACTTCTGCAGTTGGTGCATCCACTTCTACTACCAGCCCGTCTGCTCCCGCCCCCACGTCCGACATTGCTGAGCAGCTAGCAGCCATCGCTCGCCAAAACAAGCAGATCCTTGCTGGCCAGGAGTACATTAATTCCCGACTCGACCGTGAGCGCGAAGGTCGCCGCCACATCATTTCTGTTACACCCCATCTTTTTCTAAGCCAAAATGACGACTATGCCCTAGGTCCAAATTTGTCAGATTTCACCGTAATGTCGAGGAGGACTAAAATTGTGAACTATCGGTTCAAGCGGTGTCGAATTTTGACATCAAATGAGAAAGTTACGGACATTAATCGAGTTTCGGATTAAACTCACCCGATACCTAATTAAACGTCAAGTCCCAAAAATATCCCTTAGTTGGGGAGAAAGCGGCAGAACTGAACGCCGGGGCGAGCGGGATTTGCAAAGCGGTATGTATCCCTCCCTACTACGAGAGCTGCAACCTTAGGCAAGCTCGTCGGAGAGCAAGGCTGAGTGGGGCTGCAAAAGCGACGACCAGCCCTACTTAAGCTGGACAGAGGGTGCCCTACTACGAGACCTGCCTGCCTAAACGGAAGACATGGGGCGACTCCCCGCCACCTGGAAGCAAGCAGCTGGAGCAGCAGAGGGGCCCCTACCACGAGACCTGCCTGCTTAAGAGGAGGACATGGGCGGCTTCCCCACCACCTGTAAGAAAGCAGCTGAAGCAGTATTGTGAGCACATCCCGCCAATACAAACCAGGTGGGCGGCGCCATATGCTCCCTGCTAGTTTAAGCAAGGAGGTGATTTCATTGAGGGCGTATACGCCAGCGAGCAGGACCATTATGTCGTCTGGGTCGTGATTGCGTGGCCATCATTGGATGCCTCCCTACTACGTCATCTACCTGCTTAAGCAAGCAGGACCATTAGTGGGACGTTATTGCACTATCGGATGCCTCTCTGCTACGTCAGCTACCTGCTTCCATCAGCTACCTGCTTAAGCAAGCAGGACCATTAGTGAAACGAGCAAGTGGACGAGGGCGTTTGGGACGTGATTGCACTATCGGATGCCTCTCTGCTACGTGAGCTACCTGCTTCCAAGAGACGGGCCGTGATAGATTAAGCAAGCAGGAGTGATAAAGATTAGAGCATCGTGGATTTTTCAAATTGCAAGTAAGACCATGGTAAAGCAATCGTCGTTTAGCGCAAGCCAAGTCGACCTGGTCAATAAGGTAAGTGTAAAGGGGGTAAATTCTACGCCTTGCATATTCTTTCAAGTATTAGAGTTTTCAGTATTTTGTGAAGTATTGCTATGGTTGTTTATGCTCATGATTATGTGCTTGTCTGAGTTATGGTTTATAGTGAATGTGTGATGTTTAATTTAAAGCTTTACATTTATGAGTGATTGTTAAAGTTAAGAACAAGTCCTTTGGTTTTATGAAGTACTTCACCTCTAAGAAGATGAAGTCGTTTTAAGTGTTTTTAGTCGCTAGCGTCAGTCCGTTGCCATTTGGGATTTTCAGATAGAGCAGCAGTTATGCTCTTGAGATCTTTGAGACAAAGCAGTAGTTATGCTCTTGAGACTTTTAAGATGAGCGGCAATTATGCTCTTGAGAATCGTGGTGAAGAGCCACCACGATAAGTTTAAGATGTTAGGGGGATGAATCGTTACGACTCCCCTAACTAAGTTTAAGTTTAAGGAAAGCCTGGATGGCTTCTCATACGTATGAGTTGGCAACCGGACTAGCTAGTGAGGGATCGCCGTGTCAGTCAAGTATTTAAGTCAAGATTTAAGCTTTAAGAATGGAGAGTAACAGTAACTTCCATACATTTTTAAGAATTAAGCTTTTTAATAGTGGAAGTACAAAACAACTTCCACACAGTTAAGTAAAGTGATCAAGTTGTAAAAAAGATGCTAAACGTAAGGGCGTAGACTGACCCCATCTCACTCACCAGTTTGAAGAGGACTAAGAGGAGTTAGAGAGCAGCGAGTTCGAGAGGAGCAGTTTGAGGACAGCCAGCTAGAGGAGGGAAATACAAGCGCCACTGAGGTTGTCTGGTCAAGGCTTTCAGGAAGCAATACCATTAGAGACTTTTTAGTTGTTTCAGTTTATGATTATGAGTATAGGCTGGAGATCATTTTGAGATTTTAAGGTTTGAGTTTGCCCAAGTGTCAAGCTTTGTGTTTAAGTAATGACAGCTGTTTTCGATATTTATTGAAGTTATTTATGAAATGTTTCTGCTATTTTTCTCAGTATTCTCAGTTCTATTTTATTTCGCGATTTACTGAGGGTATTTTAGTAAAAGTAGTACCCGGCCGGGTTAGGGTTTTTCATTTTGGTATCAGAGCCGGTCTTCCTCTGTTCCTTGGTTTCCAAGGAATACTGGAATGTCGGTCTTAGTTTTAAAGGATTTTGTTTTAAAAGAAAGGAAAACGAGTCAAGGATCTTCTTTTAAGAGTTTATAGAATCTCCAGTCTACTATAATCATATTAAGGTGAATAACTATGACAGGACGACACGAAGGGATGGTAGCCCGGGGTGCGATTGTTTAAGAATAGGCTAGGACGTGATTTAGTTAACATGTCCTGGTTTGTCAAATGAGAGATTTAGGCATATGGTGATCGCCAGTAAGAAAGAAAGGATGAAAGAAACGTGACCAACCCAAATAGAATCTCAAGGGCTCTCAAGACCAAGTATCTCATCAACATGATGGATAGTAGTTTCTCAATTAGTTAACCAACTGCCTGGACGTTAGCAAACAAAATCATCATCAACCTAGAGAAGGAAGGAGGAACGTTGCAAAGGTCTGTGGAAGTAGAATCAAATGTGCGAGGACTTCAACCCCAAACACCAGCAAAGAGGTGCCAATTGAAAGGGAATACCTCAAGGATTTTGAAGGAGCTGAGAGAGTAGTACGCGGATTTTACTACTAGGAAACAAGTAGATAATCTAATAAGCTAAGACAAACAAAGGGAAGAAATATGAATCTACAAAGGAAGAGGAACAATCACCAGATGCCAGTAGCTATGATAATGGGAGAATTTCAGGGTCCTTGACCCCAAGCAGTGGCGAGTCAAGAAACAAGAGGTACCACGAGAAGCCCCTAACCTAGTTTTAGCGGTCAACGCTATTACAACACCGTGACAAGGAGCAGCGGGAAGCTTAGACTTCCAGAAAAGCTAGAGTAGTATACATGAACTAAAGGAGGAAATAAGTAGGTTACAGGGAGTATGAAAGGACGTCAAGAAGTCAATAAGTCAAGGCGAAGATGAGGCATGGTCATTTACATATGACGACAAAGGAACCCTTATACATAAACTACGTCACTACAGAAGAGGGTACATGACCCTGGGGAGTTAGGCCAATGACAGGCCTTTAAAAGAAACAAGACAAGCAACGAGGTAAATGATGTAGAGGACAAGTTATGGTTTTAGTACGACCACCATTGGACGAGACGTGGAGGAAAGTGCCACCAAAGTCTAAAGCATGCCATGTAGAAGACAGCGGGGAGTCAATAAGTAAGAAAAGATATGGAATGTGAGAGGGAATTACAGTTAGCTAGTAAATGGGAGTATGAATAGAGAACCAATCCTCAGCAATGCCTGAGTTGAATACTAAGTCAACACGGGGCTAGAAAGAGGATATTAGAGACCCTACAAACTACCCAAATCATGAAAGGTCAGGAGGTCGTTGGGATAGTTGAAAAAGGAATGCAAAGTTCGCGATGATTTGTTATGGGATTGTCCTATCCTAAATGGAGGGAGCATCTAGCCGTCTAAGGTACATGAGGGGTGACAGAAGGAGGAATCTCTGTAATAAGTTGGAACTAGAGGGCTAAGAGCTAGAGTCTCGGAACCAGCTGTAGGAGTAAGTCATTCAACCAACCGAGTATAGACAAGGAAGTAGAACGTTTGATGGAAGTTCGAATAGATATTAGAGAATTTGAGGAGAAGTCTCAACGGTCGTAATAAAGAGAGTTTGCGTACAATACCAGGAAAGAGCAAGAAGGCTAGATGAAGGTTGACGAAATTTCAAGAAGTCAACTGGTCAAGTATCAGGTGGGATTTGCAAGTTTCTTTGTGCGAAATTATCGTTAAAATTTCTTAATGATTGGTGAGCAATCTAGAAGTAGTATCGGACTTTGGGAAGTCGTAAGGAGCATAACTGTGAAGTGGCAATAATGATGTCGTAGAGTGTATGGAGTCGAGGAAGGACATGAAAGTACCCAACAAATGAGTGGGAATATGCGTAAATGACTCTATTTCAAGGAGCATGCATGGATGAAGGTAGTGAGAAAGAGTCAAAGCTAGGATATGAAGGACGACAAGGAGACGTTAAGTTGATTGCCAAGGAGGACAATTAGACCATAGGATGTCGTCGAGAATTCAAAAACTCATAATAAGGTGAAGGTGTCGCCGTCTTGATATGTCAAGGATATAAACTTAGCTTATAGGTCCAAAGATGTAAAGGGAAGAGAACATATAGGAACCTGGAGGACTGCATTGAGAGCAAGGAACATCAAGAAGAAGAGTCACGAGTAATAAATTAAGAGGGATATAAGTTTAGGGACGCAGGTTAGGGAAAGATGTAGGGGATAACGAGTATAGAAAGTAAAAGCAGTGGTAGAAGGATTTCAATGCTTAGTCGTAGGTAACAAGGAGATGATCATGCAGGGTAAGATTAAAGGCCAAGACGGAGTATTAAGGAACGAAAGTAAGAGATACAAGCTAGGAGGTACAAATACCTAGGATACTAATGAGGGATTGCAGTTAAGCGTATGTTAAATGGGTCCCGACCTTACTAGAAAGAGTATAAGCCGCCATCAATAACCTTAGAATTCGAAAGGGGTGTTAAGGATATCGTAAGGAGGTGCAAGGGATTGACTTACACTCAAGACACCATATATGGTGAATCAGTCATCAAGTTTGTGTATCAAGTGGAGTTACCAAGAGGAAAAAATGAGGTCTATAAAGGGGGGAAGAAGCGATACTAAGGATCCAGCATAGGTGTAGGTAATTAAGCAAACCAGGTACTCAGTACGTCAAACATTCACCACATAATTCTATGTCAGGAGATTCGAGAAGATGCACATCAGTCAGCATATGGAGAACGGAAGCCAAGGCCTGAGCGCGTTATGAACTGAATCCACAATGGGTCATGTCCTGAATAGGGCTGGCTAAGAATTTATCTCATTGAAGTTTCTTATGGAAATCCTAAGTAGAGACCCTAGACAAACCGTTGAGAACAATATGAAATAAGAAACCATTATAGTAGCAATGGCGGTTGTGAAGGGGGAGTGCCATAGTGTCATGGTTGCCTTGAGAAAGTAGCTAGTCGAGTAAGTGATTTGTGAGAAATGGGTGAGTTATAAGTAGGCCAAGTACCACACGAATTGGAGGCAAGGGTTTATAGCTCCAGGTTGTATAAGGTAAAGGAAATATAAGTCCTTGCAGCAGAAAGATTACCTCAAGTGAGACTTTAGGTTATCATCAATGAACAAATTTCGAGGTCGAAATTTTTCTTAAGGAGGGAGGAAATGTGACACCTCGAATTCAATTTAAGGTTCAAAAACAAGTACTGAATGAGCTGGACCAATAAATCGACTCGAAATATTGTCCCGTCACGCCTTATGCCCGAGTGGGGAATTAAAAAGGATAAGTAGCCACTCAAAGCTGCCTGATGCTAACGAGCTTGGTGAGAATCCCTTCTATGGTCAAGAGGAAATATAAGAAGTGAGGTAAACTATACGGGACAAGCAACGGACATCATTGAAGTACATTTAGCTAGAGTAAATTCTTGAGGCAAGGAAGTACAAAAATGGTGTAGAATGAGCAATGGATTTCAAGCAAATTTCGGGGACGAAATTTTTATAAGGGTGGAGGAAATGTTACACCCCATCTTTTTCTAAGCCAAAATGACGACTATGCCCTTGGTCCAAATTTTTCAGATTTCATCGTAATGTCGAGGAGGACTAAAAATGTGAACTATGGGTTCAAGCGGTGTCGAATTTCGACATCAAATGAGAAAGTTAGGGACATTAATCGAGTTTCGGATTAAACTCACCCCGTACCTAATTAAATGTCAATTCCCAAAAATACCCCTTAGTCCCAAAAATACCCCCCAGCCACGCAATCACTTCCCAAAAATCCGAGAGCACCATCTAATTAAACCCTACCAAATCCGAGAGCACCATCTAATTAAACCCTAAACCATCTCCGCTATCCTGTTCGGCATGATATGAGGGCGGCGGGGAGAAAGCGGTAGAACTGAACGTCGGGGGCGAGCGGGATCTCTGGCTGCAAAGTGGTAGGTAGCCCTTCCTACTATGAGAGCTGCTCGGCCGAGAGTCAAGGCCGACCGGGATAAGCGATAGGCAGCTCTACCTACTACGCTGCTTAGAGCAAATGGACACCGCCTCTGGTCGGAACTGATGGAGGCCCCTCTCTACAACGAGACTTGCATGCTTAAGCAAGTAGCTGGAGCGGAAGCCATTGGGGCGGCTCCCCGCCACCACGAGAGCATCCTGCCTGTAAGCAAGCAGCTGGAGCGGAAGCCATGGGGCGGCACTGTGGGAATCGTCCCCGCCACTATGAGAGCAGCCTGCTCCGCAAACCAGGCAGGCAGCGCCATCTGCTCCCTATACTACGAGAGGTGCTAGCTTAAGCAAGGATGTGATTTCATTGAGAGCAACTGTACCAGCAAGGAAGACCATTATGGCATCTGGGACGTATTGCGTGGCCATCAACGGATGCCTCTCTATTACGTCAGCTACCTGCTTAAGCAAGCATGACCATTAGTGAAGCAAGTAGGACCAACGAGGGCGTTTGGGATGTGATTGCCACTATCGGATGCGCCTCTGCTACGTCAGCTACCTGCTTAAGCAAACAGGAGACGGCCCGTGAGCGATTAAGCAAGTAGGAGGGATACAGATTAGAGCCACGTGGATTTTTCAAATTCCAAGTAAGACCATGGTAAAGCGATTGTCGTTGGAGGGTGGTTAGTGCAAGCCAAATTGATCTGACCAATAAGGTGAGTGTAAGGGGGGTAAATTCTACGCCTTACGTATTCTTTCAAGTATTAGAGTTTTCAGTATTTTTGTGAAGTATTGCTATGGTTGTTTATGCTCATGATTATGTGCTTGTTTGAGTTATGGTTTATAATGAATGTGTGATGTTTAATTTAAAGCTTTACATTTATGAGTGATTGTTAAAGTTAAGAACAAGTCCTTTTGTTTTAAGAAGTACTTCACCTTCAAGAAGGTTAAGTCGTTTTAAGTGTTTTTAGTTCGTAGCGTCAGTCCGTTGCCATTTGAGATTTTCAGATAGAGCAGCAGTTATGTCTCGAGATCTTTGAGACAGAGCAGCAGTTATGCTCTCGAGATCTTTGAGACAGAGCAGCAGTTATGCTCTTGAGAATCGTGGTGAAGAGCCACCAAGATAAGTTTAAGATGTTAGGGGGATGAATCGTTACGACTCCCCTAACTAAGTTTAAGTTTAAGGAAAGCCTGGATGGCTTCTCATACGTATGAGTTGGCAACCAGACTAGCTAGTGAGGGATCCTCGTGTCAGTCAAGTATTTAAGTCAAGATTTGAGCTTTAAGAATGGAGAGTAACAATAACTCCCATACAGTTTTAAGAATTAAGTTTTTTAATAGTGGAAGTACAAAACAACTTCCACACAGTTAAGTAAAGTGATCAAGTTGTAAAAAGATGCTAAACGTAAGGGCGTAGACTGACCCCATCTCGCTCAACAGTGTGAAGAGGACTAAGAAGAGTTAGAGAGCAGCGAGTTCGAGAGTTGCAGGTTGAGGACAACCAGCTAGAGGAGGGAAGTACAAGCGCCACTGAGGATGTCTGGTTAAGGCTTTCAGGAAGCAGTAGCATTAGAGAATTTTTAGTTGTTTCAGTTTATGATTATGAGAGTAGGCTGGAGATCATTTTGAGATTTTAAGGTTTGAGTTTGCCCAAGTGTCAAGCTTTGTGTTTAAGTAATGACAGTTGTTTTTGGTATTTATTGAAGTTATTTATGAAATGTTTCCGCTATTTTTCTCAGTATTCTCAGTTCTATTTTATTTCTCGGTTTATTGAGGGTATTTTAGTAAAAGTAGTACTCGGCCGGGTTAGGGTGTTTCAATTTCGGCTCAGCATTACATGATGCACTACTAGGACATGGACCCTGCTGCTGTTAGCTACCCCTAAGAGGCTTCCTCGGGGCATGAGGATCTCTACCCGCCTCTAGGTGGCGATGGTGGGGACGAGAACTACGCTGGCTCTGGCTGCTGAACCGCCGAGCTGGGCTCTGCATTTGTCTTTCTTTCCAGACTAAGAATCCATTTTGTGTTTCCTTTTCTCTTGTCCTGTTTATTTGGATTGTAGACTTCGAACTATGGTTTCTTTCACCTGGTGTGTGTTTTGATGACTCTAGTTCTGTGCCAGTTGGACTGGTCCATTTCCAGTCCCTGCTCTTTACTGGTCTGCTCTCCAGTCTCCATTCCTGATCAACATTTCACGGTAACATTGTTTCCCTTCCCTCTGCTCCATTGAGGGCAATGTCAAACTTAAGTGTGTGGGGGTGCTTTCTCTTTATTGGAACGTATATATGAGTGCTTAGAGCCTAGTCCGCTATCCAAATCTCGAGATTTGAGAGCTCCAAGTACTGATGTTTGCATGATCATATTGGCATTGTGGTTTAATTGGTGAATCGAATGGCTGTTAGAATTGATGCATGACAACTGGATTGTGACTAGGACAACCTATATTGATGACTGAGACGTGCAGTAGAGTTGTGTAGGGGTTCAGTTTTTTTCAACTGTTTGCTTACCAACTGTGACTTGGATTGATTACTTTCTCTTGACAGTCGTTTATGCATCTAGTTCAGGGAATCAGAATGAGAGATAGAGCATATAGGTAGCCATGTGAGATTTGAGCATGCTCGTTTCTTTCTTGTGCGATAGATCCCTCTTCCATGATGTGTAGTATTCACTTTGCCATTAGCTAAGATGATGGAGGCATAGGAATAGCCCACGACCAAATTGACTATCCTGGTGTGTCATACCCCCTAGTTAGCCCCTCTGAGCCATGTCACTTTCTTTCTTTCGGTCTACATGAAAAATCACCCTTTTGCATATCTTAGAAGGTTCCACAGAGTGGTTTTTGCATGTTCTCTGCTGTTTCTGCTAGAAATAATGTGAGGGTTGGAGGTAGCTCTTAAAAGTTGGGCATGTGTTTGAAAAATGTGAAGAGGTGGTGGTTCTCTCAAGAAATGAAATGAAAAAAAAGAAAAAGAAAAAGAAAAAATGAATGGAAGCTAAAGAGAGCCATTACCAAAAATCTGAATCATGCTCATTAAGTACTGTTTCTTAGCAGTAGTGTTTCTTAGCAGTTTGGCTTAGAAATACTAACATTATTGTGACCTCCTTCACTCTTGTGTTCTAAAGAGGAATTTGATTAATGCAGAATGGCAGGATGAAAGTAAGTGGTGTGAATGACTGTGAGTTTGTTTGGCTCGGAACTGTGGAACCTTGTGTTATTTATACTTCCACCGCCTAAAAGGCTTTTTCCCCACGTCCACGACCCTAGCCAGTCATTTGAACCTGTGTCTAACACCTCCGGATTAGTTAGTTGTGACACCCAATATGTGAACTCTAACATTTAGAGGTTGCCGTCATGGTGAAGAGACGTTAGGGATTGAGAGTACGAGTATGCACATCTTGCATCAAATTTTGTCCTGACTCCACTGGTCGAGAGTGAGCGATTCATTTCCTTATATTCTCTACACTCTTTACCCCGGTGAGGACCTAGAGTGCTCGGTCTTAATTGTGATGTCTTGAGTTTTATGCATGAGGTGACTGTCTTGAATAAGTGGTTGGGTCAAGTCTATGTTGGTTGGTGAACAGAAGGGAGACTCTTCCTTTATCCGATTTTGCTGCACTCTTGTTTGCACTCTTGTTTCCCGACCATTTTAGCTCGAATTTTGTGGTTCCTTGGCCTATTTTACGCTAGGTTGTGTTGTTTTGTCATATCTCAGGTCCTAGCGAGTAAAGGGATGCATAGGCGCAAATTTCAGGTCATTTGGAGGCCAGTTGGCGATTCAAGATTCAAAATATGGGCATCCCCTACACAATTACGGGCGTAATTTCCACTACCCTGACCGTAATTTTAATGCCGAGCCAAATCCTTGAGAATGTCTGTCGAAGAGCAAAATACGGGCAAGAACAAAATGAATTACGGTCGTAATTCCACGAGTACTGCAGTAATTTGGTAATTACGACCGTATTTCCCTTTCATCAGCGCTAAGTGAAACACACGTTTTGGGCAAAATATGGGTAGGCCATGATTAAGACCGTAATTCAGCCCGTATTTCGCCCATATTCGGGTTTTTGAGGCAGATTCAAGACAAAAGGAAGGGAATCGACTTTTTGAGCAAAAAACAGAGTTTTAGAGAGAGAAATTGTGAAGAACAAACCCTAGGAGCTATTTGGAGTGGATTTCTCACCATTGAAGCCCAGATTGCATCCCCAAGATAGAAGATTGACATCCCATAACAGATTCTTCCATTGTTTGAGTATGCTTGCTTTGTATTCTATTTTCCTCTCTCTCTCTCTATGGAGTAGAACCCTCTCTCACTTGGGTATGAAGAATCCTAGTTCTATGTGTTAGGGATATTGATTGTAATGACTTTTGGTTTGTGATAGCGCTTGATTATAATCGATTGATGCATGATTCATTGAGTCAATTGCAGTCTGATCAACTTTTCTTGATTTCTACTGCAACCTGAGATAGATAGAATCTGGTTAGGTTGTTAGAGCTTCATCAATCGGTAGTAGTGAATTGGTTATACGAGAGTTAATCGATTTACTGCTTTGTACTGGAATCCAGTTCCAGTAGTGGAGTTCTGTGTTTATTGCCTCATCAGTCTATCCCGGTGAAGGCTAGTCACCTGCCGGTTAGTTTGTCTGTGAGGGCTTGGTCAGCTTAAGAGATTCAAAGATACTGTCGGATCTTCCGCAGTTTAATCAACAGTAAATCAACCAAAGGTAATTACAACTTTGACCTAACTAAGGAGCTAGGGGGATTCATTCCCTAGTGACTCTTCCCTTGCTTAAGAACCTCGGACCATTTCCTGCTTTCTTACTGCTTTTGCTTAAAACCATAATCACTCAACTTAGTCTACTAGATAATAGATAATCACGGAGTAGGCAGTAGATCTAGACCCCGAGTTGATAAATAGAACTTGCCACTATTATGCATTTTTGGACTGCGATTACACTTGGTCGCAGTTTGGTGTTGTGTTTTAGCGTGTCAGCTAGCATCTCCATGATTGTTTTCCTTCTTTTCTCTTGTGTTTTATCTTCTCCTAGCATGGAGTAGTCCCTTCTTTCACTTGGGTGTTTGTAAACCCTAGCTAGAGTTATGTGAATACTTGTATGGATTGAATGATTTGTGTGTGGATGTGTTTAATGTGAATGTGGGGGTATTTTCATGAGAGATTGTGTTGTGTGTTTGTCTATCCATCTATTTGCCATTCTAAACTAGGTAGACAGGAAACTCCATTTCTTCAAAAGAGTGACTCGCTCCGACTATCACAATAAAATCCCACATAAGGCCTAAGTATAAACCTTAGATGGGTGCAATATAGGACAAGTATGTTTAAATATCGACCCAAGCCGGCCCAAGTACCGCTACTTTGATTGTTTGAAACATTATCTAGTCGATAGTTTTGGTCAAAACAAAGATCTAAAGCTAAAGTACTTTACAAAGATGTAATGGATTTGACACTAATTGAGAAGGCTTCACCCGGGTGTTGCTCCCCCTATCTAACAATTACGACTAGCAGGATCGAATGATCGTGTGTGGTGAGGGGGTTATAAACTGCAGGGAAGTCTAACAAGTAGCCAAAGCTACCCTCTTAGTCTTTAGGTCGAGGAAATGGGATACGATCCAAGCCACTAATGCGACCCTCTCAACCTATTGACTAAGGAATGGTTAGACTTCACCCTCGAATGGAGTTTGGACGGCTACCCATAACCAAACCCTTAGTTCTA